TACAAAATTCGGAAGATTTCAGTAATTAGTCCTGGCAGTCTTAAATAAGAGTTTGAGAATATGCACTTCATAAATGCATCTGATGGGAAGAGGAGACTTCATTTAATGTTATAAATATCCCCGATAAGCAATTAGTGGACAATTCCAGGATAGGATCTTGATGACATCATAGACCATGAAACAAAGATTGAATTATTACATTATAACAGAATTTTCATGCATTATGCTGATTCTTCCTGTCTAAAATGTCACTCTATCCAATGAGCAAGCTCAAAACAAATGGACATTTTCTCAGTACTAAAGATAAATCACTTCTACCCATTTTTCCTACAATTTCAGTGTTTGAACCACCATTCTAACTACATGATTATTCTTTGATCTTATTAAGGAATGAGAAGTCTTATAAAGAGTCTAAAACATTCTCATTTGACCACTTTACATTAATTACATATTTTCAATTAGCAGTCCATCAAAATATATCCAGAGGGTAGAATGGGTGGCCCATCTTCCATGATTATATAGTAAAAGGTAAACTAACTAGGAGAAAGGATATTTTTAAGATGTGCTAATTTTAATTATGATAACATTATAATGATTACAGAAATCAGTAACCTCAATATTTTTCCAATTATTATAGTTTTTCTTATAATATTTTTTGAAAATTATTGTTATGAATACAATTAAAATACATTACATATGTAATGTGAATCCAGAAAATATTAGATTTGCTTATAAAGATTCAGAGCAATTTTTAAAATGTTAAAATATTGTACAAAAATGAAATCAAAAGTTTGAAATTTTAAAAGGGAGAGAATACTACTCTCAAGTGGTACGAAATTGGTTACAAATGTATTTATTGGTTCAATGAAGTGACATATTTTTGCTCACCAACTCTGTGCCAGGTTTTCTTCTAGGTACTGGAATAAAATAATAGACAGGGCAGATACAGCCCCTGCTCCCATCAAGCTTACATTCTAGCCGAATTAAACAATGACAAGAAGAAAATGTCATAAACAAGAAAACTCTGAGATAAATGCTGCACAGGCAATTAAAATACAGCAATATTAGAGAGTGACCTGGTGGCTACCTTTGATTGGGTTGCCAAGGGAAGGGCCCTCTGAAGAGTGACAAGAAACCTGTGAGGGTCAGAACATTCTAGTCAAGGCAAATGTCCTAAGGCAGGAACTAGCTTGGCATGTCTGAGGAACTCCAGGAACGTAAGTTTGGCTGTGGTGGAGGAGATAAAAGGGAGAGTAGGAAGCAAGGAGGTAAGAGACAGGGGTGGAGGCTATCTTATATTTCAGGACAGAGCGAGGAGATTTAGGTTTATGTTCTCAGGAGAATGGGAAGTCATGGAAGTGTTTTAAGCAGAGAAGTAACATGATTTGACTTACATTTGAAAAGGAATTCTTTGGCCTCTGTGTGGGGACTGGCTTGTGTAGGGGGGCAGTGACAAAAGTGCACACAGGGAAATAGGTGTGGGGCTTACCGTGGCAGCCCAGGTGAGGAAACACAGTGTCCCAAACTGACACGGCGATAGTAGCAGAGATAGAGAGACGCAGATGGGTTTGACATGCATATTGGATTCAATATGGAGCATGGAGGAGAGAAGAATCAAAGGATACCGAGATGTTTGGCTTGAGCAACCAGGTTGATGGGTTGACGGCTAATACTACCATGTATTAAGACGGGGAAGACTGCAGAAGAGCAGGTCAAGGCAGGGTAGAATTATGTTTAATTGAAAATGTCTATTAGAAATCCAGGTGGAGGTGCTGAGTAAGCAGTTGCCTTCACGAATCTGGAATCCCAGGAGAGAGCAGGATTGGAGATACAAATTTAGGAGTCATCAGTATGTGGATGATATTTAAAGTTATAGATCTGGATGGGGTCAGATATGGGGAACTCATAGATTGAGAAGAGAAAATTGCGTGGAAAGTTTCTGAATAATACTGTATCAACACTTATGTGCACATGGTAGTAACATTCATCAGGTGTCAGGCAGGTGGCGGGGGGAGTAGGAGATGGGTATATTCACACCTAATGGGTGTGGTGCACACTGTCTGGGGGATGGACACGCTTGTAGCTCTGACTCGGGTGGGGCAAAGGCAATACATGTAACCTAAACATTTGTACCCCCATAATAATCTGAAATTAAATAAAAATATTATATCATGGTTGAGCTTTAAGTTGGTAGAGGAATAGAATGTATGGGAAAAATTATGAGTTGAGTTCAGTTTTTAGTAGGTGATAGTTGAAGCAATCTAAGTGAAGATGTCAAGTAGGCAGTGGGATATGAGTTTGAGGTTGAGGGGAGATCTGAGCTTGAGATATTAAGCTAAGAGTTATGTATGCAATACATGCTGGAGATCTACTAGTTAACTATACATATTTTTAAATTTCTAATCATCGTATAGCTAATCTTCAAGGTATCTTGCTATTGACAATTGAAAGATGAGGAAACTGAGAATAAAAGAATTATCTTGCCCCAAGTCACAGTCAATTAGTGGCAGATCTCAATGGATAAAACTCCAGGTAGTCCCTCTTTGTCCTGCTATAGCTTCCTTCTGGGAAAAGATTAATACACAGGCTGTGGTGCAAATACCTTATGAAATTGTTTAGCCATATTAACTGGAATAAAGGCATTTAGTACAATTAGGAATCACCTATAAGCACCTGGAAAGTGGTGACTTGAAATAATTCATTGCCAGTGTTTCCCTAGGAAATGGCTTTGAGAACCAGAAAGAAATTTAGGTTGTCATCAAGGCTATCACTTTGTCTCCAAAAGATGAGAAGGAAAAATATAACTACCACTGAATTCTAATAAATCCACTTTATTGTGTCTAATACCTTTCAAATCATACTCTTAGTAACAATTTAACAACTCAAAGTCCACCTGACAAGTCATCAGTAGCTTTCTTGATTTGAGGAAGTGTCCAAAAAAAGTCAGTAATGCACAAATATTGAATGCAATGTTAACAATTCGAGGAACAAATCAAGTTTTGTTTTGAAGTCTGTGGTGTCATAAATCCTGTTATGGCATTATCTACTTAATACTATTCTATGTATCAGTGAGCTCTTATTAAAAGAATCACTAAGGTGTATGAATCACCTTGTATATTTGGAGGTATATATATATCTGAATGTGGCATGTATACCTAGAATCCTCCAAATTTTACATTAGAATACAGATAAACTAATAAAAATTAATTTTTGGCAGTCAACATAGCCTTTGTATATTATTTCTTTTTT